ACGTACGTACTATGACATTAAATCCGTCTTCAAATTATCACGATTGAGACACACCCTCCCTATAACGGAAGAGACCCTTGTACGTGGTACAAACCTCCCCCATAAATTGCCTCTAGAGGCAATTTATGGGGGAGGCCCATGTACAGCAGTGGACTTTTGATAAGATGATTAAATTACTTTTCCTGTATCTTCTTAGGCTGTGCCACTACTATTGCGTTCCGGTTTTATGGTATCGGTATAGTCAAACCTGTGAGGTATTCTTCTAGTGTTTCTTGTTGGTTGTTGTCCATGAACTAGAGTAATCGCTTAACATTTGGGTCAGTTTGCTTATCATTTGATTGAAGGTCATCTTTTTTATCAGACAGTTACAGTTCGTTAGTGGATATTGCCCTCCCCTAATATAGGATACTACGCGTTTTAGGCGGATTCACACTTACAGCATCAGATTTACAGTTGTATGTGACGCATCGCCGGCAGAATATTTTACATCTGCTATATACACAAGATCTTTCAAATCTTGTTCACAGTCGTTTCTTACGATTTCCAAAGGAAGAATGGGGTGATGGATTCACCATCACACAGCAAAACATTATATTATGTTTAGGGCAAATCTAATAGAAGTAATTATTTTTCGCGTTTGACTTATTCAGGTTGTGAGGTACGCGGATCTGTACGCAGCGTCGTTCCTGAACCTGATGTACTACCCGTTCTGCTACATGTTCCGAGCGCCCGCCATGTTGATGCCGCACGAGTCGACGGTCGCGCACGAGCAGCGCTTCACCGTCGACACGCCAACCATTGACCGGTCAGTTAACACACTCGCTTCTTAAAAGAGCGATATTGAAAGTATCAACGCTAGCAGCACAAACCTTCAATGCCTTAGGGTGTTTTCATTGACCGTTATCGGGAACAATATGTCGTCGTCGACATATCTAACCGACATGGATATTATCTAGAACTTTTTTATTTAACGACACGGTACCGACATATTGGCTCCAGTTTACCGTCAAGTTTGTAGCACGCTTGTTTGTAGTGCATCCATATAGACCTCTCACGTTGAAATTCGCCGTCTAATTTGCATGATGCCGCACCAGTGGAAACCATGGCGTCGCCAGTAACTTCCTCCGACTAACGACATGCATAATTGATCACTAATACACACGTTCAGGTTTACATGACGCTGCAATCGTGATCAAGTCGGCAGGATCGAAATTCATTTTTTGCTTCAAGTAGACTTGTTATGCACACTAATAGCCATACACCTTCAAGTTTACAAGACGCCGCTTCAAGTGCGCTGCAAACTTATAGTAAAGTGGATCGTGTATGGCAACTGTTATGTATACATATTTATCCATGTATCGTGTCACCCCGCGCCTCCTCGACACAGGTACGCACCTGTGTCGTATTAAACACAATGCGTTGCCAGCTAGCAAGTGTTTTACTCGTGTCCCTACGTCCGATACTTAACAGCATCTATTATGTTTTGCAAATTAAGACAGGCGATAATACTCGACCATACAGCCTAGTGTGGTGTGTGAATTAAATTCACAAAATTATTCACATTTACCAAGTTTTTCTAGGATTCAGTCTAAGCTAGCGGACAATTGATAACGATAATATCTCTAGCCGTGCAAAAACCACTTTTTCACTTCCAAATATTTAACACACAAAATCGCACCACTTTTACGTCTCAAAACCCACTTCAAATAAATATTATTTATAACTATGATACAGAAGCTAATTAATAGAATCAGGCGTTACTTTGCGGAAATCTATTATATTAAACTTGGTACAAAATTACTTCGTGTACATCCGCTCGATAAAATAAAATGTGTGTGTTACCCTCAAAGTAAAAAAAGTTGTGCGGGAGCCCCTCACTAACCCCTAAAGTAAAAAAAAGTTGTGCGGAAGCCCCTCACTCACCCCTAAAGTAAAAAAAAGTTGTGCGGAAGCCCCACACCCACCCTCAAAGTAAAAAAAAGTTGTGCGGAAGCCCCTCACTCACCCCTAAAGTAAAAAAAAGTTGTGCGGAAGCCCCACACCCACCCTCAAAGTAAAAAAAGTTGTGCGGAAGCCCCTCACTCACCCCTAAAGTAAAAAAAAGTTGTGCGGAAGCCCCACACCCACCCTCAAAGTAAAAAAAAGTTGTGCGGAAGCCCCACACCCACCCTCAAAGTAAAAAAAAGTTGTGCGGAAGCCCCACACCCACTCTCAAAGTAAAAAAAAGTTGTGCGGGAGCCCCTCACTCACCCCTAAAGTAAAAAAAAGTTGTGCGGAAGACCCACACCCACCCTCAAAGTAAAAAAAAGTTGTGCGGAAGCCCCACACCCACCCTCAAAGTAAGAAAAGTTGTGCGGGAGCCCCTCACTCACCCCTAAAGTAAAAAAAAAGTTGTGCGGAAGCCCCACACCCACCCTCAAAGTAAAAAAAAGTTGTGCGGAAGCCCCACACCCACCCTCAAAGTAAAAAAAAGTCGTGCGGAAGCCCCACACCCACCCTCAAAGTAAAAAAAAGTTGTGCGGGAGCCCCTCACTCACCCCTAAAGTAAAAAAAGTTGTGCGGAAGCCCCACACCCACCCTTAAAGTAAAAAAAAAGTTGTGCGGAAGCCCCACACCCACCCTCAAAGTAAAAAAAAAGTTGAGCGAGAGCCCCTCACTCACACCTAAAGTAAAAAAAAGTTGTGCGGAAGCCCCACACCCACCCTCAAAGTAAAAAAAGTTGTGCGGGAGCCCCTCACTCACACCTAAAGTAAAAAAAAGCTGTGCGGAAGCCCCACACCCACCCTCAAAGTAAAAAAAAGCTGTGCGGAAGCCCCTCTCTCACCCCTAAAGTAAAAAAAAAGTTGTGCGGAAGCCCCACACCCACCCTCAAAGTAAAAAAAAGTTTTGCGGGAGCCCCTCACTCACCCCTAAATAAAAAAAAGTTGTGCGGAAGCCCCACACCCACCCTCAAAGTAAAAAAAAAATGTGCGGGAGCCCCTCACTCACCCCTAAAGTAAAAAAAAAGTGTGCGGAAGCCCCACACCCACCCTCAAAGTAAAAAAAAGTTGTGCGGAAGTCCCTCTCACCCCACAAGAATTTTTTCCTCAATATTTTGTGTCATGTTAGTGTAGTTTCAAAATATTGGTCATTCTGACAAATACCAGTTTTGAAATTGACCAATAAGAAAGTATTTTGTTTAATTGCTCTAAATATTACAGGTCTAGACATTCGGGTGCTCAACGCCCATACACTATTGTATCGGAAGATATGTCAGAGGAAGCCGTCCCCACAATTGAAACTAACGATTTGAAGGTAAATCAAATAACTGTGAATGAAAAAATATTTTAATTTTAAAATTTAAATCAGGGGTGATTTAAAACTATAAATTATCCTTTTCAGGCTCAAGGATCAGTACCACACGTGAGACCGGAAACGCCGCGCCAACTCACACACACCCACGACGAAGATTGTTCCGACGATGAAGACGTTTCCAAGGCGGGGCAAAAATAAATAAGCTAATGAAATGCATGCTTGAGTATAAAAATCAATTACGAAGGGCTCACTAAATTGTCGAAAATATCTATTTACAGGGCACATACAAACTGTAGTTAATAACTATATGATAACCTTTGCCCTACTATTTATTTGTTTATATACGTTGTTGTAACCTGACGTATTTAAACCTAGATATAGAAGAGTCTAGTGTAGACGTCCTTTGTTATTTATTATATAAAAAATTGAAACTTAAATTTAAAACTACAGATATTTAAAAGTAATGATTGATGAATTATGTTCACATTGGCAGAAAAGGTTTTAAGGCAATATATTATGCTTTAAAGTAACAACAAAATTATGGGTTCTCCAGTTGTAATATTTATTTTTTTCCTATTGCTTAGGGCTCATACCATCAACTTAACGGCTTAATATGCGCACTGAGGTATTTAACTAAATCATAAATTGGTATGTTTGTTTCATTTTTTATTAAATCAATTTTGTTATATTCCATAGCTGCATTATAAAGTTTTTGGTTTTTTTTTTTCCTTTTTGATTGATTCCGTTTTTATAGATAATTTAAATTTTATTAATGTTGTGTATCGAAATGTTTATGCTATTTCAATTTAAATTAAAAAAAAATTATTGTCAATTGTAATCTTAAAAACGCTATGAATTTGCAGGCAAATCGTAAAAACCATTGCATTGAAAATGTCAGAAAGGTAATTTGATTAAATCATGAGACGGTTGTGTGTCATTTCCAGTAGATTGCGTTAAATCGATTTTAATACTGAGGATAGATTCAATGGATGTTATCAATTTCACGATTAGGAATTTATAAATATGAATGTGGTATTGTACAGGTACCCCATATCAAAACCCAGATTTAAGAAAAAAATTAAACAAATTTAATTTTACAAAAACATAAATTGAGGCAGCCTTTTGTAATTAAAGATAAAACTATAGAGTACTAACCAATGTTTAAATAAAATAGAACCAATATTCTTATAATTGCTTATATTATATTTTCAATTCCCCTTAATGCCTGACTTTTCCATGTGAACTTGCTCCACTTTGTTACAATAAACTCTCCGGTTCAATAATAATTACCGTAGAAAATATGCGAACTAAAATATGAATCATGGAGTTCGACAGGAAATGTCGGTAACGCGAGGAATGTGGTGCCCCAGTCAAGGGACCTCTTACGTGACAAAGACTTCTATTAAACCATAGACAATTTTTAATTATTCAATAAAGCAAGGTTTGTTTGTAATGCAGGTGTTTTTATAAGCTACTATAAAAATAAGTAATATGGGAAGAAATGTCCTAACTTGGTTTTGATATATGGCAGCTGTGTTAGTGAAAAGTATTGGTAATACTTATTCGAAAGCGTTTACGAAAACAATGTGATTATACTGGGAGTGATTTTTATATAATTTTTATTGACAAACAAAATCTTAAAATTTAATGAGTATGGAGCGAAATAAATGCAATGAGCAATAGATAAGGATGTTTTATTCTCATTTTCACAAAAGTAAATCTTCTAAGTATTCTTCAAATTCTTCTTCGCGCGTTTTTTCTTCAACTTCTTGTACCCCTGTAACAATAGAATGATAAATAATGCATTCAAATAACAATCTTTAATCCGGATTTACATTTATGTGACCTGTTCTGTTGTGACGCATCAGAACGGTATTGGTTACATACATTTAGTATGGTGTGCGTTTTGATGTGTTGTGATTGCTTCTGATGTTAGGGGTTGGTGTCCTAGCAAAGGTGTGGCGGTGGTACTTCACGCCGGGGCAGCTTCTTACCGTATAAAGGTTTCTCAATATGGATGCTCGAACTTTGACAACGTATAGCGGCCATCTTGGTACAGTGATAGGTATCAATTTTGACAAGAATACTTATTTAGTCTTGACTCTTGACATTTCACCATGGAACGCTACACGCTTCAAACACGCGTTAAAATTGTTAAAATTTACAATCTAATCAGTGTTCTGTTGCGTCGCGTCTAGCTTGAGTGCGTTGCGTCTAATTTATGGCATTCATGGCCGTCGTGCAGCGTCCACAACTCGTCGTTTAGTGAATAAATTTGAGATTTGATTAGATTTTAGATTAATCGGGATTTGAGGCACTGCTACATCGATCACCGTCCAAGAAACACAAGATAGTTGGAGAATATTCTTGCCGTTCATGACAGTGTGTGATAAAATCCCAGACAGTCCATTCTGCGTCGTGCGCAAAAGCTTGTGATCTTTCTGCCATATCAACGGCGCATTTATCGTCGAGACTGGTTCATCCACACAAAGTTCAGTTAACTCAAGAGTTAAAAACCCAACGAGCACAGACAGCGCTGCGTATTCACTGATCGGGCTTCAGAGCATTTAGCGGCTGACGCTGCTTGCGGCAAAAAATTATCTTCAGTGATGGAGGCCATTTCTGGCTTTGTTAAGAAAAAATTGCCGGTTTTGGAGTGACGAAAATCCACGGAGATTAATCAGGTGTCTCTACACTCCGAAAAGTCACTAAGGTGTGGATTTTGGTCCGGCAGTATCATCGGCCCTTATTTCTTCGAAGATGAGCAAGGAGCCGCGCTCACTGTCAACGGGGACCGAAATCGGACGATAATCATAAATTTTTGTAGCGTAGGATAGATGGTATAGACCTTATAAACATTTGGTTTCAACAGGACGGCCCCACTTGCTGTACTGCACAGGAAAAATTGAATTTATTGGATGATAAGTTCAAGGGCTTCGGCATCTCGCGTGATGGCGACATCAACTGGCTACCGAGATCGTGTGACTGAACACCGCTCAGCTACTTTCAGTAGGGCTACGTAAAATTTCTGGTTTATGCAGACAAACCACAAGAAGGAGGTAACATAACTGAATGACAACATGACTTAAACGAGCATGCTCACCTGATGGTGACTACCGCCACCCATTAACAACTGCAATACCAAGGGAATTGCAGATGCGTTGCCGGCCTTTTAAAAAGGAGTAGGCTCTTTTCTTGAAGGTCCCTGAGTCGTATCGGTCCGGAAAAATAGCTGGTGGTATTCGATCCCACAAGGAAGTGCGAGGAAGAAAACTTCTTCTAAATCGCACAGTGGTGGACGGCTAATCATCCAGATGGTATGGATGGTATCGCGAGTTTTGTCGCGATGTCCGATGGTGAAATTGAGCGGCAGGAATTAGTCCGAACAAATCCTCAGAGCACTCCCCTTGGTAGATGCGATAAAATACGCAAAGAGATGCATCTCTACGCAGTGCCAGTGAGTCAAACCGATCGGAAAGAACCTCGGTCGTCGACGATTCGAACCGCTCTGCGTTGTATGTGGTCAAGTGGAAGGCACTGGGGAGCAGAGGGCAGTGGCCCAGAGATGGGAACAGTATTCCATGTGAGGCCGAACCTGCGCTTTGTAAAGTTGCAAACGATGTGCTGGCATGAAATACTGTCTAGCTCTGCTGAGCACGCCACAGTCCGAGACTGTTCAACAAAGTCTCGGCTTCAGACAAGTTTGTTCCGGTATTCGGCGACGTTTTCCCGAGAAATATTGGCACGGCCGGTGTATAAAGCATCACCTGTGCTGTTGTCTGCTTAGCAATGTATGTTACCAGTTTGCAACATATCATTAATATGCAGAAGAAATAGCGTTTGTCATAGCACGCAGCCTTGTGGAACACCAGCGTTAATGGGCTTGTAATCGGAGCATGCACCGTCTACTACGACCTTGATGCTCCGATCTGCAAGAAAACTGGTGATCTAATTGCACAATTTCTCGGGAAGCTCATAGGAAGGAAACTTCAAAAGAAGCGCTTTGTGTAAAACCCGATCGAAGGCCTTCGCTATGTCCAGACTAACGGCGAACGCCTCCTCCTTGGACTCCATTGCCTCCGCCCATCTATGAGTTAGGTAACCTAGAAGATCACCAGGTGAGCGACATCGACGGAAACCGTACTGGCGGTCACTAATCAGCTGATGATCCTCAAGGTACCGCATAAACTGGCAGTTAATAATAGTTTCCTTTACTTTGGTGAACAAGGAAGTGATAGCGACAGGCCTGAAGTTGGACAGATCTGAGCGGTCGCCTTTTTTAGGAATCGGGTGCACTAAAGCTGGTTTCCATGAGTTAGAGCCTAGGGAGTAGGAGTACCGGAAAAGACGCGTTAAAACCGGTGCCAACTCCGGAGCACATGTCTTCAGCACAATAGCTGGGACTCCATCAGGCCCACTCGACTTGTTGACGTCCAGGGAGAGGAGTGATTTGCGCAACAAGCGCTGTGTAAACAGCACTTTCTGCATGGAGCACTCACACCGCGGGATGATCGGCTACGTGTTCCCTCCGTCATCGAGAGTCGAGTTGGATGGCCTAGCAGATCGGCTTTCTCCTTTATTGGCATGGGCCAGTGAATCGTCCACCCCGTGCAGAAATGGCAGAGATGGCTGACAGAAATTCCCTAGAACAGCCTTGGCAAGAGACCAGAATACACGTGTCCCCGAAGGCAGACGTTTCACGCCAATTCTGCCGATGTGCTCTCACTTTGCCTAGGCAATGACATTTTTGAAGGACCTGGAGGCGGAATTATACTTCTTTTTAAGAGCGCTGGTGTTTACATCCCGGGACGTTGATGCGTCAGCCCAGGCCGGGTAGCACTTCTGCTTATAGTGTGATGCAATTTTACAGTAGTGACCAAACCATGGCTGAGTTCTGCCTCCGATAGGCACCACAGATGATGGAATAAATAATTCCATTTCCTGAAGTACCAAATCAGCGACAGAATCAGCAACAACGTTGGGATCGCCCGGCCAGAAGCAAACCCGCCCCCAAGGGTAGGATGCAAAAAAAGGTCGCATCCCGTCCCAATCGGCCGACCTATAGTGCCAAACACGGCGGAAAGCTGCAAATCGCAACTGTGATGGGAGCGGGGGTGGCACCATACTCCGGATCAGACAATGGTCCAAAGAGCCAAAAGGGGCAGGGCATCGACGTAGACCTGATATCCGTCCGGATGAGAGGTGAGCAGAAGGTCGGTCCAACAGGGAAGGTACATGATCCTCCACATCTAGGATCCGCGTAGGCGATGTAACCAGTTGTGTCAGACCCTATGCCAAGGCAAAGTTATAAACAGATGGGATCATAAGCGGATGGGATCTGTTGTAGCACGGAGTCTGCAGCCATTTGGACGTGGTCGATGTGTCAGTCTGTGTCGGCATTACCGCTATGAGACCTATAGAGGCACCCGTAGACGCGGTGATGGTCGTCGCTGTCTACGCGCAGCCATAGGATGGACAGGTCCGTATCTTCAGCAGTCGCTGAGCCGTCGAAAAGATGTCCTCTCCGACGTACACGCAAACTCCAGCCCGGGGCACAAAGAAGTATTCCAATTTGTGCCCCGGGCTGGAGAGATACAAAGTATCAGTCGGAGAGAACACCTGTGTCTCGGTTATAAAGAGCAAGGCCGTCTTTGCCGTCTCCAGGTGATAGTGGACGGCGTTAAGATTTGAATGAAGTCCCCTGATATTGGTTTCGTTTTGAGTGGAATTCCCCCCCCCCCCCCCCCGGTATTCTGTGAGGTCGTGGTGTATTACAAGGATTAAAAAAATATATATTCGAATTGATAATTTACTACTTTTTGATGTTGGTCAAAAACATTGATTTTATTACCTTTCTTCCATAGCGACTCCGCTTTGTCTACTTCGGTTTCTAGAGCTTCCTGCGAAGTACTAGGCTCTGGCTGATTTTCTAAATCAGGTTGACATTCCTCGTCGCTTGTGACAACGTCGCTACTGGTTTTATCTTTCCTCTTCTTCTTTTTCTGGTTCTTTTTCAGTCTCTTCACTTCCCGCTTTTTCGATTTATAGTTTAGTTTTTCTGAACAATCTGGGCATAAACCTGGCACAATAATTTAGATTAAGTCTGAACTTTACTTGATGGATTGTCACTTGTAAGCTATTTTAACATTACCTACTATTTAAAAGTAAGTATTATTATTAAAACACCATAATTATATTTTTAAAGTTTTATGATACGTTCCGATGACACTGCACCATTAATTGGAGCCTTTTGCTCGGCAGATTTAGAGGAAGAAAATATAATCGATGTATCGAAATCGCCTTCTTGTAGTTATAATATATCTAGTAAAAAATATTTTAAGATTGCATATTATCTATTTTTCGTGCTGTTGGTGATGTTAGCCTATACGGCTCTTACAGCTTCATCTCACACACTTCATTATTTTGGGGAATAAGGAGGTGATAATGATAAGCCTGCAGTTGGACGGGTCGGAGCGGTAGCCTTTTTTAGGAATCGTTTTTTTTTTATAGGATAGGATGACAAACGAGCACACAGTCTACCTGATGGTAAGCGGTTGCTGTGACCCATAGACATCCACATCTATCCTCAATAAAGAATCAAAATGCAGATGCGTTGTCACCCGTGAGAACAAAGATGGAATGCCTCTTTTCCAGTAAAAAGGGTCTCCGGGTCTCTACACTTACCATACGAAACGATAGTGTTAAGCTTCTATTTTACACTAGTATTCTGTGAAAGCGTGGTCCTTCCCCGGTCGAGCCGACCCATTCGTGCTACAACTATACTACTAATATAGCTGCAGCATGGCGCTACCACGTCAAATTTTCATCGTAATCGGATGAATGGTATAATTTCTTTAGCCTTAGCAATATTTTTTACTTCTGTGTTCCGCCTGGAAAGTGCAGATTACCGCGACCATGTTGGGTACATGGACCCTCTTTGGGAGGAGGGTACCAACCAACCAACACACATGGTAATGGAGAATCCATGCCCAAGCCACCCTATTCTTCTTGAACGTAAATACTCAGGCTGCCCTGCATATTCTGGGATGAGGGCAAAATTTAGCTTTTTACAAAAACTTCTCTTCTGCAATATCACTGCAACTTCACTCTAACCTTAACGCCGTCCACTCCCATCTGGATACGGTGAAACTGACATCTTATCTTTACACGTGGATACCACTATCATGTTTGGCCACCGGAACCTGCATTTACCAGGCGAAACGCAGAAGTAAAAAATAATGCTGCGGCTAAAAAATTATACCATGCATCCGATTACGATGAAACTTTGGTGAGTTGTAGTGCGCGTCAAGCTGACAAGAAAAAGGCATGGCAACGTACCTATGTTTACTTCTTTTTTACATTAAGACTACTGCCTCGTTAGTAGAGTGGTGGTAAACGCGACTGCTGATCATGAAGGGTTCAGGTGGGTTTTGCTGACAAGAAATTCTCAGTAGCAGCCTGGAGTTAGGAAGTTGGTGTTTCATCCTCGTAAAACGTCGCAAAACACGCGATTCGTTGATCCTACGCCTGATCTCTCCGGACTATGAGAGTGAGGGAATAGAGAGTGCACGTGTGTTTGCGCATACACTTGGGCGTTATAATCCTGTCTGGCGCAGTGTCTGAAATTCGGTTTGAAGGATTTATTCTAAGTCAATGGAAATAATTACTTCATCATTCAAGTTTTGCTGGTATATTATTTCAAAAAATATCAGACCCGAAATATCGAGTTTTATAGGTCCGGCTAGCTAGCGTCGAAGGGTAGAGTTGTGTTTCAGTACACCTTACAAGTAAAATAGGGGGATGAGATGAGTTATCCTCTCTCGACTCCCGAGAAGAGATCGTCACAGGGCAGTAGGCGCTGGTGGGGCTGGGAAGAGTGTGCGTATGTCTCCTTTGTCCAATAGAGGCTCTGTTGAGTTTGGCTGCCATGACCGAAATTCGGTCCGGAGGACATTATTATTGGATAAATTAGGATTAATATTAACAAGAGCCGAAGTAGCTCAGAACCTAAGCGCTTGTTGTAAATTGCGTAGTACCGTCCGGTCCATCCTCGCCGGTACCAATAAAATTGTTAATTGCAATTTCAGTAGCACAGCGGACAGCTCAAAAATCATCTCAGCAGATGAGGCCTTGACTTTTATAGGCACATACGAATATTATAAACGACATTATAAATTTAAGGAGCTTTACGTAATATGTGACGTAGCTTGACGAATGGTTAAGGGGTGCAAAAAGGCGAAATTTTCGGTGACGTATTTGGGTGATTTTCAAAATTTTTGTACAGTTACAAAAATTGAAACAAAAAGGAACATAACATAACATACAAAAATGAACAATGTCACAAAAAAATAACAAAAATGAAATATTAGGGCTAACCCACAGAAGATAATTTAAACAACGAAATCGCATTTTAAATAATTTATTAATAATAAATAATCAGTCTGTTGAATTACATAGTAAAATTCCGTTGTTCATATTCATGAGTAAGTACTGTGTTCTATAAAAGTTTGTCCGGGTATTTGTTTACAGTTTATATTTGTCGACTGGTAATTTGTGGCAAATAGTCTTAAACATATGATTGTAATCATTAAAACAAACAACTTTCCAAAGGAAACGAATATTTTATTTTATTTTATTTTAAAATGTCACGAAAACTGGCCGAATTGCGTTTATAACGTCGTGATTATATATATAAATAATCATATAGAAAAAAAAATCGTTCTTTTGGGAAAGTTGTTTGTTATCATGTCTTTATTTAATTAATACATCTCCGGCAAAGAAAAATCGACTTTGGCTTCCAATAATATAACCTAAGTTTTAAGCTCGCGTAACATAACAAAATTCTAAGTTCTCTTTTAATTCTACAAAAATAATAATAAACGTTATTACTTGATGTCAGAAAACTCAAATAATAATGTATATTAATTTTATTTCAACAACATGATGCACAATCCTAATCCCGACACCTTTCTTGCCCTTCACTCTACAACTACCTACTTACTTAATTTTCGTCACTGTCGCTGAGGTCCAAAAAAATTTAACCTACACAGGTTTCTAATATCTGTTTCTTTTGATTTAGAGGAACATGGCTCTCCTTCTCCCTCTGTGTTTGACAAAGGAGTAAAACCAACCATTTCAGGAAAATGTTTAAATAAGTCGTTTGAAGAAATTTTGTAACGTTTCGGATTTAATATATTTGTTAAGTCATCAAGAGAATAATTGACTGTAATTGTAGTGGACTGTATGTGTAAGGGTGATTAATGCTAGGGACGTTATTAAAGAAAAGGTGGTACACGTTATAATATATATTAAACTATTTACAATGGCGGCAATTATTACTACTATTTACACAAGAGGGAATATCTTCTATGGGAGTCTTGAGTCTTGATTGTCTTTTTTTTTATAGGATCGGGTGACAAACGAGCACACAGTCCACCTGATGGTAAGTGATTACTGTGACCCATAGACATCTACATCTATCCTCAATAAAGACTCAAGATGCAGATGCGTTGTCACCCGTGAGGACTAAGATGGAATGCCTCTTTGCCAGTAAAAAGGGTCTCCGGTTCTCTACACTCACCATACGAAACACAGCAGCGTTAAGCTGCTATTTTACGCTGGTTTTCTGTGAGAGCGTGGTCCTTCCCCGTTCGAGCCGACCCATTCGTGCTACAACCATAATATAGCTGCAGCATGGCTCTACCACGTAGAAGTCTTGAGTCTTCTTTCTTGAGTGTCTTCTTTGCCGGTTTCGAATCGAATGCCGGAGGACATTTTTTTTTGCGCCCAGAAGCAATTGGAAAGGGCTACCCCGATTGCGCAGGGAGGCGGTAAATGCTTTATGCACACCACGACAGCCGGTCTGTCGTGGTTATGTGGGACTCACTGTATCTAACCTAAAGTGGAGCCTAGGTGCTACCCACTAAAAACCGCCTTTGGGACTAAAGATTGGCCAGTTAAGCCGCTTCGTCGGATCGGAAGCGACCCTGCCGGAGGACGTCAAATGCCTCTTCTTTTATTCCCGCGGTGGGGGATCCGTCTTCATAGTGTTCTCGCGCGGTGTTGCTGTGCGCTAATTGGTCGCCTACCTCACGTGATGTCCGGGCGTTGTGCGGGGTACGCGGGGCGTAACGGGGTATGAGGGAGCGACCGGGCGGCGCCTCCCTTCGCTGTCCGTAACACTAATGTTTGACCACTGTTTGACAAAATAGTGGGCGCGTCTGATTCTGTTATCGTTTTCTTCATATCAGATGCCGGTTTGGTTTGTTTAATGTTGATGTTAGATTCCGAGAGTACTTTAGTAGGATGTAATATTGTTTGAGGGCCTGTGTGAATTCGTTTAACTGTCTTTGATGTAAGAGCGGATTTCTGATTCTGTGTTAGTAAACTGAAATCATCGTCATCGGTATCGTTGGAAATTTGTAGTAACACTCCTTTATACCTTGGGTAAAATTTGCAGTGTAGGATCCGGGTTGTAGTATTTTAGATATTCCAGAAGCAGCTTTGGATGTACTTTTGAACAGATTTTAAAATAAAAGTTTCTTCTTCATCAGAATAAGCAAATTGTCGAGTTTATTTTCTTTTAGGTGCCATTAACAAGCAAGTTCCGTGGCGCAGTCACTTAACAATGAGTTGTTGCGCTGGGGGCCGCGGGTTCGATTCCCGCACGGAACAAGTATTTGTATGGCCTACAAATAATTGTTCCGGGTCTGGATGTTTGTCCTCGTGCAATTTATGTTTGTAATCTGCCTCCACGACACAGGAGAAAATCCTAGTGTGGGGGTAACGTTATTAAAAATAGAATTAAAAAAAAATGTTTTTTTAGGAACAAGCAATCACAAAACCCTCTTATTCCTGAGCTTCCAGAGCAGAAACAACTCAAAGTTCTATAATATATGTCATTGGTATGATCACTTACCGACTGTATTTGGTTTAGTTTTTGCGAGTTGGGTAAAGGTATTAAGGAATTCAGGGCAGTTTCATTGCATTCTTTGATAAGATTTATATGTATGTCATTTACAATGAAATGTGTTACTCTACATTCATCTTTCAGAAGAGCAAGTGCAGTTCCAGCATCCG